TACCAGACTATGAGAGGTCATTAGTGCATGATCAGTTCACACAATGAATCTAAGTAGTAGAGGGATTGACTTTCTTTTTAATTACATACACACAATAACTGATATTAATATTTAATTTTGAAAATATAAAAATTTTGGATGTAATTTTAGGTTGGTGCATGTTTCTATGTCCATGTTCTAAGCCACCATTATGTTTGCACACATGATAGTCCATAGGAATATGACACTAAACAATTCTCAATTCCTAAACAATTTTAACCAATCTTCTTAGTATCTATAAAAGATGCTCACTATATGATTTGGGATATCTGCATCTAGAATAGCCTTAGAACTTAATTACACCACCACAAATGCAATAGATTAATTATGCTGTTAGAGAAATTCTCTGATGAAGACATAGTTTCTAGACAAAGCCTACTTTTTGATCTGCTATTTCAGAAAACATTAGGTCACATTATTAGTCAAAAGTCTGATTTTTCTTAAAGGAACCACACCAACTATACTGTTTAGATGGCTGAGAGTCAAAAACAAAATGCAGAATCTCATCAATGGTCTTTACCATATAGGCATTTACTGGATTACCTATGATAGAGGAACTATCCTCTTTTTTTCCAAATGACAGTATTTATCTGATTAAAATAATCATCAAATGACAGCTTTCACATCTGCAATATGATAATACTTCCTACCCAATATTTCAGGATTTTTAGAGGCTTACATTAGATGAAGCATGTGAAAATTGAAAAGAAAAATTATATAGATTATAAAACACCAATCTAAGCTCGCTTTATAAAGTCTAACTACATGCTATTGCTCAACATTATTTTTCAAAAATTTCCTCTGAAATCATCCCAAATATCATTCAAAAATACTATCTTTTTCAGTATTTATATTATAAAATTGAATAACACTTTTTGAAAATGTTAAAGACAAAAAGAAGGATGGCCAGCATCATTTACCTGACAATATGCAGGTAGTCAATATAGTTGATATTGCAGTTAGTAGCCCAGATGAAGTGGCATAGAATAGTGATAGCTAAATTTGCTGCTGAATATATTTAAAGATTCCCCAGCAACAATGGGTCAAGCTACATCAAGCCATGCTCCAACTTCCATTCCAACACCAACCCCCTCTCTGCAAACAGGAGTTTGACTTCCTCATCCATCATTTCCTTTTTAATAACACCCTCCTATTCATCTACCCTTCTTTCTTCTCACCCTCTGGCATGTTGACAGTGGCTGGAATTTCCCATTAAAGCAGTCACTCTTGTAGAAAAAGGAACTGACATGATTAATGTCAGTCAGTGACTAAAAGCAACACAACGCATATCTGCACTCAGGTAATTGGATGCATGGCTTGTCCCAAATACACCTGGAATTCTTTCCAAAAATTTGCTGCAAAACATCATGCTCCAATTCTACCACTGCTGAGTTCCCTTAGCAGGTATTTCAGTGGAGGGAGTCTAGAATCAGAAAATGTTAAAATTGACATTTGGCATTTGAAATGGTCTGATCACTCCTTGTGCATGGGGAAAAATATTCATAAATGTGTAACTGTTCCAAGGTCATTCAGTACAAAAGGAAATATAAGAACCTGTTCATGATTTCAGACATTGCTTACCAGATTTTTTCATTATAAATCTTATCCAGCTCTTTCCTTCTGTCTGCCTCCACCGGGATCAGAAATGAAGTTGAATTGACTTCCATAAGTGAGTTCTCCATTTCCCCCAGAGGGAAACTCCTTCTTGGATATCTTACTGATAGAATTTTTAATAACTACCTCCTTTTAAAAATACTCACTTCTTCCTTGACCCAACATCTTCTTGTGGGTCCCCTGTGATCAGACAATTCCAACTGGCTCAAGAGTCTCTCTCTGCCTCACTGCTCCATTGCATTCTTTAACATTCTCCTTCCAAAGGCACAAGGCAGCATCATGCCCTGAATTTAGAGTGGAAATGGGAACTGTTAGTGTAGTTCGGGGAAAAAAATGACAAGAAGGAAAAAAAATAAATAAGTTAAAAAAATCTCCTGTGCCAGGGTACCTTTGTAGAGACAAAATGAAAAATCATCCTTATATTGCCCTGGGAATGAAGCTCACAAAATAAACAGTTCTTTTGTATCCCTTTCATTTAGTCATTTTAAATGTAGTTCCATTGTCTAAATTATTAACAAAATTATCAAATTGATAACAATAACATCTCCAAAAAAATAAGTAAACATTTTCCCAAATGCTAAATTTATCCTTTAATTTACACTTGCGAGACTATGCTTTAATATTTGCCACTTGTCTGACAATAGAGAAATCTATAAAATTTAAAGAAAAACATAATATTTTCCAAACTACTATTCATTATAGTTTTGAAACAGTTTCTCTGTGTAGATTTGGAGTCTGTCCTGTCACTAGCTCTGTAGATCTGGCTGGCATCAAACTCACTGAGTTCTGCCTGCCTCTGCCTCTGCCTCTGCCTCTGAGTACTGGGATTAAGGGTATGTGCTACCATCACCTGGCAATACATGATAACATGCAATTAATAGAGAAATACATTGTTCTTCATAGGAAGTTACGGGCTTAAAGAAGAAACAGAAAGAAAAGGAACAGGTAGGCAGAAAGAAAGGAAACACTGCAGAAATTATTCAAAGCAAAATTACTAATAGCAGGGACTTTCCTTTGTGCATTATTTTATCAGCAGAATATGGATTAAAAAGAATGTAGGAAAGTTTGGGTTGTAGATTTAACAATGTCACATTTAAGTTAAATATACTGATATTACATTAAATTTAGAAAAATTAGCCACTTCAGTTAACAAGATATTTTCAAGAGGAAAAGAGAGGGTTCATGAGTGCTTGTTACCCTTCCACGAGGGCATGAATGCTATAACCTTCTATCTCAAAATTTAGGGTAGTGAGCAACTGAGCAATATAATGCAACTGACTTCCAACCTCTCTATATAAGTACAAACATACACATGTGAGACCTTCTATATTTACCTTGCACATACAAAACTACACATATATGAATACAAAGATAATGCTTTTTAGTGTTAGTTTAAAAATGTAATTGTTTTTTATTGAAATACAATATAATTTACTTATACACATTTAGTATTACTGTTGTTTAGTAAAAACAATAGACCCAAATGTGTGGGAATTTGTTTGGATGCTTGTTAATATTGTTAATTGAATGATAGTCTAATCCTAAAAGTCTTATAAAGAATTTTGAAGATAAGGATGATGTCTATAAGAAGTTACTTATTTATCAGACACAACAAGGAAATACTTAATTATAGGAATATTCTATAACCCCACTGCTAATCAACCTCATTGCCTACACTAGGTAATTTTATTTTAGTTTTGGGTCTTTTGCAAATAATGTGCTTTTGTCAAAGTTAATGTGCATCAACATTGACATCTGGTGGCTTTACACTTTTAGTAGCAGGTTTAACCTAGCCAAGCTCCAATGAGCTGACTGGGGCGTGAAGGTGGATTGGAGACAAACTGGGGTCACCTACAGGTTAGCTTTGTTGTATGCATTCTCCACATAAATTCTGTGGATATATTAGCAAAGAAGCCATTTTTACATTCTTCATTCTCACCTGCTGGCTCACTGTGATCTCACCCTTGTCACCCATGGGATGAATTATCCAGACTAACTAATTTCACAGCCAGTAAATTATAGGTATATTCATTGAATCTGTGTCTCATTAGGGGAAGTTAATTTAAGTAGACAATCAACAACAAAAAAATAGGGTTGTGTACAAATCCAATTTGAGTAGAAGATTTTTCTCTATATAGAGCACACAATGAATTCACAACCTCAATATCTGCGATAATGAGAGAGAACACTTTACAAACATAAAAGAAAGAACAAAAATTGACTCACTGCAATTTTCTCTGATGAATGTTGAATTTCCATTTATTATTTTAATTACTTCACTCAGACCCTCAGCTGTCTCCAAGATAAAATAAAACCTAAAAATCAGCTTTCATATTAACCCCCAGAAATATTTTGATTGTCTTGGCTTTGACACACAGCACTTCAACTTTATTCTTTCTTCGCATAAACACCTGGTCAAGTGTTCCATGACAGTTTTCACCATTGCAGTGCTATTACTTACAGTAATACTCAATATGGGTAGTTCATAGGCCCCTTTCTACACAGTATGAATTTGTTAAAACTCTAGAAGCATGGGAGCCTATGATTAATGGCATGGCATCATAAAAATGATGAAAAGTATTATGAAATATCTTTTGGTCATCATCTTCCATGGATGTTTCTCTTGACCTCAATGTACTGACTTTAAAAAATTATCAGCAATTTTCTTTTGGATACTTTTTCTACCTAGACTTCTCTAAAAATTGAACAAAAGATGTCACAAAAGATGAAACAAAGATTTCCATAATCCTACCTCCTTCCTATATAAAATCAACACATTTATTTATTCATTTAAGGACTCTGTACTAGTTTATTAAGAGAAAGACCATGCTGTCATCAATTGGGATAAAATCATCACTGCCTTCTATGATATTGTATTTCCAATAAAGGATTACATTCAGTTCATATATTCATTAATGTAGGTTGTAGGTTTTAAGAAGAATATTATGTAGGGATTTAGCTACTGAAAAGTTTGATTTAAAAAATACTAAGGTGATCAATGAGTTTGCTAATATAGCCATATATTGTAATATGTAAAAGATTGAAATCCTGAAAAGTTTGCTAAAATAATTCATAATTATAACTATCATTGTGGTTAAAATATTATGAAATACCTGTTTGACTAAATGCTAAGGTTATTGCCAAAATTATTTCTGCAATGGGCTGGAGTGGAGATGGGAGAACATTTATTGTTTCTTTTTTTTGTTTGTTTGTTTTTTTTAGTTCATTCAACAAGAAGCTATAATTTTATTTGTGATACAAACAGTACAAATTTCAAACCAAGCTGTAGTTCACTTCTGAAACACCAAAAAGGGGGTTGGGGTAGGAGCGACCTTGCTGTCAAATAGTTATATCGTTAATTCCATAATAGCATTTACAATATTGTTACTGTTGTTTTTCATGGCTCGGACTGCCTTTGCTCTGGACACATTTGCTTGTGACATGATCAATTCTATGTCCTTAACTTCCACACCCATTTCATCAACCTCTTCCTCCTCGCTTTCCTCTTGTACAGTCGGAGTCTGAGTGTTTTCCTGAATGTTTGAAACGGCCTCACCTTGAACTTTGAATTTCTCAGCAGCTGCTAACTGTGCTTGCTGAGACAAATCTTCAATTTTGGCTTCTCCAAAAACTATGTAGGTGTCTGAAGCTGGGCTCTTGTAGACATCTGGTTTTGTGATGACAAAGAGGATTTTTTTGATTTCCGGATAGTGACTCTAGTAACCCCTGTAACCTGTCGAAGACCCAGTTTGGATGTAGCCTTCCTTGTCTTCTTTTCACTCCGACTCTGTTTTGCTTTACTGACCGGTTCTTCATCAATTTCAGCTGCTGCCACCAGCTGGGCTTGTTGTGTGGTTGACTGTGTGGAGTCTTGTTCCTCCAGCTCTGGTACTGATTCATCACTGTCAGATTCTGTTCCTGATTCTGTCTCAGCCTGAGGCTGTGGCAACTCCTGCTCTGTAGCAGGGACTGTTTCTGTGGCTTCACCAGGCATTTTGTGCAGTGGACGCGGAACCAAGATGGCGGCGGGAAGAGCCATTTGTTTCTTGTCTCTGTAAAGCATTGTAGTCTTTAACGAGGCTGCAATTTAAAATGATAATTTAAATCTATATTTATTAACATGGAAAGATGCCCATAACATATTGTTGAGTGAAAAATAAGACAGGTTCTTTAAGAACAGTATGTTCAGTAATTTTTCTATTTGTATAAAATCTTGTATCATTTTCAGTATATGTATCCATAAGGAATCATTCACTTACTGTTCATCTCTCAGTAGTGGATGCCAGATGATGGTAATTTAAAGTGTCCCTCAGTATTCTAAATGCTTATAACAAACATGAACTTATCGTTTAAAAGAAAAACTTAGTTAAAATATGTATTAGTGGACTGTAACTGCTGAGTAATATTTCTGTATTAGGGCAAGTCATGGATATCTATAGTTCATTGGGAATCAGGTAATATAATTGACCAATCATGTATGCTCTGACAGACTCTGAGGAATAATTCTACATCTTGTACTTTAATGTATCTCCTATCTAAAATTCCGAATAAACACTACCCTATACCCTAATCAGATTAGCTGGCTAAGTGAAATACAAAACAACCTCAATAGGTCCAAGGATATGAAAGCATGATGGGGATGTATTTCTGTATATATGTTCCTCGTATTGGTTGATAAATAAAACATTGTCTAGTACCTAGGTAAGACACAGAGGTGTCTACCAGACCAGGAGAAGACCAGGGAGAGTGAGCCAGAGAGATGTCATATAAAGGCAGAATACCTGGCAGGTATTAACTGGTAAGCCAACAGCACATAGAAATACTTAGATTAATAGTTAAGAAAGAACTAGCCAGTAAGAATCCCTCGGCATTGGCCAACAGTTTAAAACTCAACATGACTCTGCCTCTTCATTCTTATTTGGGGCTCAAGGGTAGTGAGAGCTGGTGGGACAGAAATTTTTGGCTACAAATCACTTAAAATATATTAAAAACTAGGAAATGTTAAGTCTCCTATTGCTTGATAAGGTTAGGGATTTTTGTCATGTGAATAATTTTATCATAATAATCCCTTCAAAATGACATTCAGAACCCCTCTGTGATTTTGATAATCAAAATTTTGCAACTCATTTCAGATTTCATGGAACACATTGCTCCACCAAGAACTAGGAATATTACTCTATTTGTCCTAGACAGATGTTACTGGTACATTGAATTACAGACAATTGTACTCATTATCAGTTTTCTTCCTAAATCCTGAAACTATGGTTATTTGGTACTGAATTTCCCACATGTACAATTTTTACTATAAAGGAGGTGAGAAAGGCAAAGACATTATTATTAAATTCTCACTTCAGTACTCGAGCTAATTTGTCTCTTACCATTTGTTTGGTTTGTGTGTGTGTGTTCATGTATCTCTGTGTGTGCATTTGTCTGATGGGAGATGTCATTCTGTAAATATGTTTCTCATGCTGGTTAATGAATAAAGCACTGTTGGCCAATAGGAAAGCAGGATAGCTGGACTAGGGACAAGGAGGCTTTGAGGAAGGAGTAGGGTGGAGTCAGCATGTGAAGACTACAGAGAACAGTGGTCTGGACCCACTCTCCGGTAAGATGAGACCACGTGGACATACTTAGATTAATAGAAATGGGTTAATCATTAAGACAGAACTAGCCAATAAGAAACTAGTACTTGGCCAACAGTGTTATATCAAATACAGAGTCTGTGTTTGTTCTTTGGGGCTGGCGTGGCTGTGGGCCTGGCGGTGGGGAAAAACTATTCTTACATGTGTCTGTGTTTGTTTCTGTGCATACATGTATCTTAGAGTTCTACAGCTGTGAAGACACATCATGATCATGTTTAATTGAGGTAGCTTGCTTATAGTTCAGAGGTTTAATCATAGCATGAAGCAAGGCAGCATGTAGGCAGATATGTTGACTGAGAAGGAATTTAGAGTTCTAAATTTTTAGGCAACAGGAAATAGACTCTCTCATTGAGCAAGGCCTGAGCATATATGTGACCTCAAAGCCCACCTCTGAAGTGAAACACTTCCTCCATACACACCTCCTAAAACTGGCACTCCCAATGAGCTTATGGATACCAATTACATTCAAACTACCACAACATATATGCATGTCAAAATATTCTGTGTGTACATGTGTGTCTGTGAGTATGTGTATAGGTGTTTGTATGTTTCTGTGCATGTTTTAATGTATTACGTGTGTGTGTGTGTGTGAAACCCCATATTGCCTGTATAGAAGAGAATCCCTAAAGGTATACATTGAAAATATGGAGCCTATAAATTCTTTGCTTTAAATCTCAGAGAAGAAATTTTCTTCCCTCATTTTACTAAATGTATAGTCTTTTCTCCCTGGCTGTTTTTTCAGGTTTCAGTCACCTGTTCTCATTCTATGAGATGGGTATGGCTTATCCGTAACCAGTAAGGAGTCTCACTTCTTGTCTTCTTATTACAAAGCTGAGACTGGTTAATTTTTACTATACCATAAAGAAGACCAGGAAAAGATAATATTATTTATATGTTTGTGACTTTCAGCATACATATACTTGTGCATATACACATACTCAAAAACACAAACACACATTTGTGCAACAGTTCTGTGTATTATTCCTACCTATAGTACTTTATCTTTTACTGTATGGTTTTGAAATACTAAAACTATGTGTTGTCAGATGGAACTATGAAGAAAATAGCAAAATGCAGTGCCCTTCCATGACCTTTGCACAAGCAGTGACTTCTCAAAGCAGATAACATGCCACTGATAATGTCACCTTATGGAGCAAAATGGAACACTCCAAATGGATGGTCTATAGAAAAGGGTGACAGGATCAAAGTAATTTGTTTTGTTGTGTTCTGACATTTTCTAAACCTAGGATAGAACAAAATCTCTTTTAAGAAAGTTCCCTAGATCTCAACTCCAATCTTTGAAAGTAGCTACTTAGAAACAAAGATATGGACAGCATTTAGATTTTAGTTATGTTTTCTACCTGTCTTCATTTTATGAATGAATTTGCTTTGTTTCAGTTCCATGTATATTTGTATTAATTGTGAATTCCTCTATTGATACCTATATACATCATTTTTCTGGGTTTGTGTACCTGGCAGTAAAACAGACTTCAGAATTCAAGAACAATTAAGATAAATTTATGCTGTCAGAAAGTTCCTTTCCATATAGAGCAGATACTAACTCCATCATCTCAGAGTAATTTACTGCCCTTGCTTCTGTATATGATAATATGGTCATGGACAACCTTAACTACAAGTGTATGTTGTGAGAATTCATTCTGATAATTGATTTGGATACCAGCCATAGTGTACAACCTATGTCTTTCTTCTTATAAGCAATGGCATCCACAGACAAAGAGATGCATACACCCTATACATTCAATCCATCTCATGCTTTTATTTTGCTTGAGAGAGGATTCCAATCCCTAGGAATTGAACATTACTTCCCAAAGCCTCAACTGGGTCACATACTACAGCTGGTACCCTAAAGCTATTGGCAAAATAAAACCCCACAATTACACATAGGAGACCAGAAACATAGAACAATGCAATATTTAAATTAATGTTTTGGGGAAGTAAATACATATCCATGGTAGGTGAAGAAGGAACATTCCATATATAGAAAATAGGATTTGTGAAAAAATGAAGGTAAAACAGATTTTGAGATATATTTGGTTGTCAGATAAATTTGGTAAATAAAAAACATTTGAAAAAGATCAAAATATAAAAGTTACTCATTATATCACATTGTAGTCTTAAAAAATTAACTGGGAAAGATGGGCAGCAGGATGAAGTCTGACATTCATGAAGAGGAGTGGATGAAATAAATTCCAGTTAGTTTAAACTACAATCTTTTTCTTGGTGACATTAAATAACTTTTAAACCGTGTTAAATCTGTTTTTTTTTCCTTACCTGTAAAATAGGCATTAGAACGTCAATGTCAAAGTATCTTTATTTGAAAATTATTATTATTATTTTATTTACATGTTGATCCCAGTTCCCTCTCCTCCCTCCCTCCTATGCTCTCTCCCCCCCCCAACATGCACCTGACCACACTTCCCTTCCACCCCCCCCACACACATTCCACATGTAGGGCTATGCTATCGGGGGGGCGGGGGTCATGTAAATCTGTCAAGTCATTTAAAGTAGGGACTAGGACTTTTTTCCTGTCTCTAGGTTAAGGCAGTATCCCTCCATAGGGGATGTGTCTGCAAGGTCCTTTTGTGTACCAGGGATACATCCTGGTTCCGCTGCCTGAGGTCCCTTAGACTGCTCAGTCCTTCTACCTGAGACCCATACTCAGGGGGACTGAGTCAGTCCCATGCTGGATTCCCAGCTATCAGTCTTGGAGACCCATTAGCTCCTCCTTGTTCTGGTCAGCTGTCTTTATGTGTTCCTACAACCTGGTCTTGTCCTCTCCCTCTGCATCTGGATTCTAGTTCGACTCAGTGTTTAGGTATGGGTGTTTGTTTCTGTTTCCAACAGGTACTAGATGAGAGCTCCATGATGGTGGATAAGTTAGTTGTTGATCTCACTATCAGGGAAGGGCATTTCTATGGTTGCTCAAATTGTTAGTTGGAGTCAGTCTTGTAGGTTCCTAGACCTTTCTTTAGGTTCAGTTTTTCTCTTCAAACCAATAATGGCTCCCCTTTCTATGCTCTCTCTCTTTCTCTTTCTCTCCTTCTTTCTCTCTTTCTCCCTCTCTTTTCATCACTTTGATGACATCATATGCCATTTAAAATGATTTAATGATAGCCTACTTTATTATGTTTATGATGAATAATTTAACTATTTAAATTCATTCCTAGAGGCTGCACATTCTTAAAAATAATGTACATCTGTGTATATTCTAAATCCAATACCTTTATGCTAAATTATGCATTCATTGAAATGGAATAAGCAGAATAATTACTGTTGGAATATATTCATTTAGTTAAAATAATTTTCTTTAATATTTGTTTCTGATAATGCTGATAATGCATCAAAGTGGCTGCTTCCCAGAGGAAT